TTCATTCCCACCACCAACCACTCTCAACACCCCGAAGTCATCAGTCCACTTTGAGGGGTCCACCCAGGACAATAGAGAGCCATGTTTCTGCTCAGTGTAATTGAACATGGTTTGAGATTCTCCACAGAGTCAGTACCTTCCCCACTATGGAACAGACTGCAGGTAGGAAGCAATTTTATTGACCTCTCTTTGTGTTGAAGACCTTCTTAGTGTGTGATGGTGGGCAAACTCCTAGACAACAGAGGAAGAGGAGCTGAGCAGGGACCCGAGGTGGCGGGGCGCTGGAAATATGAATCACCCAAGGCTTCTGGTCCTGAGGCCACGCAGCTCAGTGGGAAGATAGACATGTACCCAGAGGAGACAGGCAGCATGAAGCAGAGCAGACAAAATTACAGTGGTAGGGAAATTTGGTTCTAGATCCCTCCTAGTGACTATGTATTTACTTAGTTTAGTATGCATTTTAAAAATTTAGTCAAAGTAACACCTTCACACAGTTTAGAAGCTGAGACCTCCCACCAACAGCAACACCATGTTGCCAGCCAAGTGCGGGAGCCGTCTTGGCAGTGGGCCCTCCAGCCCCAGTCAAGCTTTCAGATACCTGCAGCCTCTGCTGACATCTTGGCTAAAACCTTGTGAGAGACCCTGAACCAGAACCGCCAAACTAAGTTTCTCCTAAATTCCTGACCCACAGAAACTGTATGAGGGAATAAGTGTTTATTGTTTGAAGCAGTTAAGTTTGGGGATAATATATTATTAAACAGAGATAGAGAACTAACACGTAATGTTTACTGTGATTATTTTCTTGGTAAAGAGGCTGGGGAAGGAGATATTCTGACCCAAGTGGGCTGTGAACAGTATTAACTGAGGAAGCCTTGCTCCTAGGTTGTGCATAATGAAATGGGCTAAAGACCATCCGGACATGTTAACAAAGCTGCTGCTGACATGGTGAGTTTCACACCAATCAGAAGTGTGCTTCAGAAGCCAGCGATCTCGGGGAGGAGCTGCCTGGGCTGACAGACCTCGTTTGCAGATGACCTGAAGTGCTCAGGTGACAAACATCTAAAGGAGAGTTATGGGGCTATTGATCTAATGGAGTTCCCAGGGTTAGGAATTGATTGAGCACTTTCATTAGAAAAAGCAGTCCCAGCCGCAGGTTCTTTTGAGTCTGGCCCCCGCTTCCAGCGTGCAGGAAGCTCAGCCCTTCCCGCTGAAAACCCGGTGAAAACCTCTGCAGTATTTCCCAGCAAAACTGGCTTCCTCCCCTGTCACCAGGAGCTGGACGGAGCTGTGGGCACATGACAGCCGCATTTCATCAGCTAATGTGAGCTCATGTCCAAGAAGTCCCCACCCCTCTCCACTCTCTCGGTACCTGAGATTCTGGGAAATCTGCTCTATTTTCAGCCTCTAGGTTTCCTTGTCATTATGAGAGCTGAGCTCCTCGGAAACAGGTGGCCCCAGGGGAGCTGAAAAAAGAGGAAGATGAAGCAAGACCCACACAGCCTGGCAGGAGGCAGTTCTCAACCCGAAGCCTCTGGAAACCTTCATTAAAGACCCTCTCAGCAGTTACCCCTTGGAGACATCTACAGTTCTGGGCAGGGCTTCCCTCAGTGACCAAATGGTCCACCCATTTGAACCCCTTTCCCTTAAAGAAATTTGATATAAAATGTTTTAAAGAGTGTTGTAACACTTCTTGATTTTTTTTGCT